AAACAGTATTTGAGTGGCTCCTTGGTGATGGGCTGGCGGCAGATAGCAAGCTTCTTAACTCAGATGGAGAGCTTCCGTTGCAAGAAGAAGAAAAGCCAGACTCCTGCCCTTGACCTCCACGCACCCTTGGGAGCTGGCCTCTGCCTGTCTTTCTAACATCACCTTGTATTTTATTCTTCCTTGTCCATAGCTTCTGGCCATGCTGGCCTTTGCTAGGTCTCTCAGATGCCCTCAGCCTATCCCCATGATTCTGTTCTTCACTTGGCCCATGATGCTAGTCCAGTTTCTTACACAGCTGTTCTCATCACTCAGATTCTTACTCAGATGTTAGCTCCAAGAATCCACTACTGTCTCCCCAGTCCAAAATAAGTGCCCTTGCATTCTGTCCCTGACCATTGCCTTCTAGGATTTCCCTAGTGGAAAAAACTACTGCCTACAATTGTTTTATGTGCTGGCTTATTTCAGGTGTGTAATAGCCATCTTTTAGTCCCACTCATATGGAATGAGAGTTTCACAAGAAAAATGCCATTGATAATCTTCACATTGTAGCCTCAGCACCTAGAACTATGCCTGGCACACAGTGAGTGCTCACACAGTGGGTGCTCAAGACATACATGTTGAATCAAAGGATGTATAAGAGTTACCTCATTCGGGCTTGGCAGAATGTGAGAAATAGGACAAAACTTCTTAGATTTCTGGCCTCTGCTAAATCAAAGGTGACGATACCTAACTAATTTTCCAGTTTATGGAGGAGAGTCCCCATACCATTCCTTTAGAGATAGAGAATGCAGTAATAAATCCACTCTCTATTAGTATTTATCACATTTATGCAATATTCTGGTTCCATTCTAGAGTCTAGTAATACAGCAGCAAATGCTCGGACCCAGTTCTGTGCAGAGTGGAGCTGACACAGAAAGCATGGTATGAAAATACAGGCCCGTGAAAATGCAAGTTTGGGAATCTAAACTGCCCTGATCTTAATTTCTACAACTGCGCAAACTTACTGTCTGTCTAGACAAGTTATTTGGCTTTATACTCCTCACATCCTTCATCTATAAAATGGGCGCACAGCTTATCTTGTGTGTGTTGAGAAGTCTTGGGGAGGTGATGAACATAGTCTTGGGAACGAGGGATAGATAGATGAGTGGGATCTACCTTCCTCTGACTTTCCCTTGCCACAAAATACCCCGCTGTTCTCTTTGGAAGATTTGAAGTGATCTCACAGGCAGGCCCATGCTCCAGCTAGGATCAGAGGTGTTTGATACAGAGAAGAGTGTATGAGGAATACAGACTCCTTTTCTAGCCTTGACTCAAAGCAGCCTTCCCGAGCCTCCCTAACTAGTCCTTCAGTGACGACTGTTGCCTAAGGAGACACTATCTACAGGTCTAGTTCTTATTTATCTAGAGAGTCATTAATGCCCACTGTGTCTGGCAGGGGTGCGTGGTTCTAGTCCTCCTGGAGTTATCATGCTAAAAAGAGCCATGTTAGGATGCACACAGAGACACGCCATCCAAGAGGCACCTCTCTGTTCTGTCCAGATTTCTGCCTTTGATGTGGAACAGATCACCCAAACCTCCCAGATGTGTGTTCACTTCCCCAAGAAGGAAGGGAACGGGCTTTACCTACCACACAGCAGGACCTCTGGGTAGCTAGGGTGTTTCAGGACACACAAAGACAGGCACCTCCTAAATCCAGATGACCGAGGGATTAAGGTTTCCAAAAAGACAGTGGTAGAGCATGCTTTTGAACAATTTAGACACTGAAGTTGCTTTTCCTATCTTCCAGCAACTGTCGCCATGAAAAAGAAAGCTCCCAGCCTGCTTTGCTCCAAGAGGCATACACTCTGTTCACTGAGCAGCTGGACTTGAGACATGGTCACCAAAGGCCACTCAGAGTTGCAGGGCACATAGCCGCTGGTGCCGGGTTGCAATGGGGAACAGTTAATAGGTTTGTAGACTGTCACGGGTAGATGGTACAGTCTACCAGTGCAGGCTGGGAATTTCCTCTGAGCAGCCTGGGAATTTTACCTGGTTGATTTGTGTAGTTTTCTGGACCACAGTCAGCAGTATGGCAATAATAATAATAATAATAATAATAATAATAATAATAATAGCAGCTGGCACTTACTGAAGGCCCTCTGCACTCAAGGTTCTTTATATAAATTAATCCTTTCTTCTCCATATGACATAGAAATTTTTTTTTTTTTTAAATCTTCTTTCACACACCAGACAAGCAAGGCACACAGGACCCTGCTCAAGGTCACGGGCACATAGCTGAGATTGGAACTGTGGCTGCCTGGCTCCATGGCCCTGCTCTGCGTCCAGGAAGCACTAGATGTAAGCGCTTTGGTGCATAACCACAGCCAGCCTGCTGGAGCCCCCGCTGCCCAGCACTGGACCCAAACTTGGCATTGCTATAAAAGAACACACGCGACACCTCAGCCGCCCTAAAGATTGTTCCAAATTACAACTCCCAGCGGCCTGACAAAGCTCTAAGATGAATGGATTTCAGAGCCCTTGCTTTTCCTGACACCATAGCCTCCCACCTCCAATCAGTCCTGGATCCACCATACAGACAGCACTAGTTTAATCCAAGAATAAAATCTGTTACATAAGCACATAGCAGACACGGGGGTGAGCAGAGAAGCAGCCCGAGAGCAGCATTTGTCCACTCTGAGCCTCCAGAGTATGGCCCTTCCAGAGAACTTTTCATCTCTCTGTGAGCCTCCCTCAGTACGCAAACTTTCCTTCATCTCCTCTCCTTGGTGCTCTCTATATTGTATTTTATTTTGGTCGTGCACATTATTTGAAGTTACTATAGCAACGTGTCACCAGCTGGTATCTCATAGTAGTGTTGGCATTTAGGTAGCAAGCTCCTCAAGTTGCCTGTTTCCTTCTCTCTGTGATCTCACCTCTCCCACCAATCTCAGGTGAGCGGGGATGCCTCCCAGCAGCCAAGACCCCCTCCTCGATTTTGTGCGTCAAAATAGAGCAAATGATAGCTTTGTCTTTGCCCTTGGTTTACTTCAGCATTGCAAGAGTCCTGGCACGCACGCATATGTGTGTGTGTGTGTGTGTGTGTGTGCACTAAAGGTTGCTAAGTTGAAATGGTTAAATTGAATGTTGTATGCAGAGCTATTAGTATTTCCAATAATAACATGATAATGGAGGTGACTTTTCATGCAAAGGAGCCAGGGTAATGATTTGGGGAGAGTTCCTACCAGAACTGAAGTCATCTGATATATTGCTCACACGGGATTGGTTTTCTCTTGTTCTCTTGCCAGCACATAGTAAAGAGACCCTGACTGTTTTCCCTCAAAGCTTCAGTTCTCTCCCAGATGTGTGAGACCTCTGAGTGTAGTGGTGGCCTGAATTGATTGAAAGAATTGATCGTCTTGGATAGCTGGGAGGGTCCTATGTGGCAAACATGCCCCGCCACTCACAGTGTTAAGCAGCCCCTCATCAGCCAAGGGCCTGCGATGATTGTACTTATTTTTACACGTTTGACCTAGTTTCAAACTGTGTCTCTCTGTGCTATGATTCATTAGCCACATTTTAAACCACCCGATTGGAGCGAGGTGACTCTGCCTGGTTTGCGCCAGTCTCGGATTCAGTTTCTCTCTGGAATTGAAGATGCAAGTCCCATTGGCACTCTGTTTCTAGAAGCAGTTTCCTATGGAAGCACCTGCTGGGCTGCTTCGGTATGGATGAGTGGCTGCCTCGTGCTTGGGAGTAAATACTTGTCGATTATAGAATTTCTGCCAGGAATAAGAAGAGGCTTCTAATTGGCCCAGATTAGAGGGGATCCCCCAACTCCCTGAGTATATCCCACGCAACGCTGAGGCTTTTCTAGGTTGTTGGTGGGGATGGGAGTTTGAACTTTTAAAGACATAAAGTTTGGGCAGCATCAACCTCAGGGCTCTGTTGGTTGCCAGGGCAAAAACAGTCTGATGGTCACCCTTACCCCAATCCCACTAGGCACTTAAAACATGGCAGGTATGGAAGTATGGTGTCAAACTTGTGAGAATGGGAGATGGCCCAGACACAATTGCCATTTTGAAGACAGTCCTGAAAGGGGGCTGCGGGTCAGAGAAGCACAGCGTGATTCCATTATCCCTTCACTGCATGACAAAGCGTGTATGACCATTTAATTCAAAAAGAACCTCGAATGAGCCTCCCACCTACGGCTCGCTCCATTTTAGGTATCTGTTAGTCCCATCTGTGTGATCACCTAAGGATTGATAACCAAGTGAACTAGGTACCGGGGTAGGAAAACAGGATGCTTCCGGTTTGAAATAAAACAGAGTCATGTTTTGATTAACAGGCAAATGCAAGTGACTTGTATAAACTTCCATCAGGGTACACTGCCAGTCCTAGGGGAGGACACCCCAACTGGGCTTTTCTATGTGCTGATCAGGACAAAGAAATTAACAAGTGATTTTGGTAAAAGTGATTTTGATTGATCTATGAACTCTCACACACTGGCTGACTCCCAATATAACAGTAATGGTTTATTTCACAAAATGGTCAAGCTCTCTAATGAAACATGGAAAAGCTCTCTCTTTCATTATTAAAAGAAAGAAAGAAATAAAGAAAAGCATAGAAGTTTCCTTAAACAAATCCTCAGAGAACGCAGCCTGTTCGAGGTAATTCCAAGCAACTTGAGCCCTGCCGAGGTTTGCTCTTTGCATTTTCTCCTTTTCCAATTCAAATCAAGCCATTGGGAATAACAAGCCTTCCGGATCTAGGCATTTGGGGCAGCCTGCAGTTCTGGTTCTGACAATGGTGGATTTTCACCACACACACACACACACACACACACACACACACACACACACACACAAATGAGTCTCAGCACTCATTTAGCCAAAGATTTAAAGTAAGCTGTTGTCCAAGAGACGACCACATTTTCTCCTACAAGATCACCGATTTAAAATTAAATAAAAATAAAAAAGACAAAATAAAATAAAAAAAAAATCAAACCTCCCCACGTCTCTTACCTCAGAGCAGTAGAATTACCTGCAGAGGATGTTGCCCCTTCCTCTCACAACGAGCCAGGCTTTGACCAGCAGCAAGGTAACTCCAAACGAAGGAAAAAGAAGCCCTTTATATTGTAATTTTCACTGTTTATATGCAAGAAGTGTAGTGGGTCTGCTCACGTAGGAATAAATAAAAAGCCGAAGAAACCGCACGGCAGCTACCATGTGAAAAGGAAAGCCCTCTAGTGGTCACAGGCTGAATTCTTTAAGGAAGGGAGAGGAGAGATGGAGGCAGCAGAAGTATATGTGTACACACACACACACACACACACACACACACACACACACACACACCCCACACCTATCTCTCCAAACTCTACAGTTTTCCTCTCCTACATTTAACCTGGGCAGAGGTATAAAATTCATTTCTTGGTTTCAGTGGGATCTGGTTAAGTTAGCCAGGATGCGGCTGTTTCAGCCTGGATTAAAAGCAGTGAACAATTTCACAAACTCACTACCACCCCCTGGAGGCTTGAGCATGAAATAACAAGCAGGTGGGACCCCCCCCTCCCCACTCCCCCCCACCCCTACCCCAAGGCTGCAGGTTCCTATGTATACAGTGGCTGGAGCCCCTGAGAGTCCAGCTTGGTGCTTTCAGCCAGATGCCCTTGTTTCCTAAACACAGAGTGAGTTTAGTGGCCACTGGCTCCTGTGCAGCTGGCCTGGCTAATCATAGAATTCCTTCTTTTAAAAAGCCACTCAGCTATTTCAAAATTATCAGTATTTTAAAGTGAGGACCCTAAGGTTTTCACCTTGTTCTGTTATATAGCTGGCCCTGTTGATGGGAAGGCATGCTACCCCTAACTTCCTAATTGAAAAGAACCAGGAAGCAAATAAGAGTCTATACTTGTGGGAGCTACTTTGGAAATGAGAGCATGGAAAACATTTAGTCAACCTAAGAGACCTACCAAGGAATGCAGGGAGGGCTTCCTGGGGTCATTTCCAGTGTTCTTCTGTCACTAGAATATGCCTACAGGCTGGCTGGCATACAGATAGATAGACATACATGCATGCATGCATACATATATATTTGTTTTTTTTTTAAACAAAGTGAGAACTTTTAAAATAAAGGCCAAAGTCTGTCATACACACACACACACACACACACACACACACACACACACACACACACACACACACTTTATTTTTTTCAGACATGAAACTTCCAAGCAGTGGGAGCCCCCAGACACCCCCTGTACCCCATCATCTAGGCCACCTTCTAAAAACATGTCTTAGGCTGGGCCACAGTGAGGCCTCCTCTGGCCAAGATGGTAGCCCACGTGGGATCTTACAAGAAACAGTTGCAAATGTCACCCCAGGCCTCCTTGATCAGTGGCCAGTGCTTTCTTCACTGGCTCCCAGAATGTATCTCCCCAAGGGCTGCTCATGTATACCAGCATACCCCAGCACAGACACTTACTACTCAGGGAGGGAGGACCTAGAAGAGGCTGAATTGATGCCTTCTGCTGCATGCCTGGGTTAACTCAGGCTCCTCCACTCCCAGGGTTCCTTCAAGATCCACCTCTTCCTCAGGTCTCTACCTTGATTTCCCTCTTGTCTGAATCCTTCCCTCATGGACATTAGTCATGCTTTCACAATTAAATAATAAGCTTGTAAAGGGCAAAGGCTGTCTCTTCGCATCTCCTTTGTCTTCCTTAACCCCAGCAAATGCCAGTTCTGGTAGGTACTAAGTTCACTCATAGCTGATTGATTCATGGGGATCCAGTAGCTGATCTCTCTACAGAGACTTGCAATGCATGCAACGGAGCTGTTGGAGACATTGATCTTTCCAGGAACTCCTCTGGGAGTAGATATGGCAACAGACGAGACAATGGGGATTTACACAGACAAAATTATTTACCGAAAATGAAACTGACTGCCCCGAAGGATCTTGACTGACATCGGCTGAGTCTCCCAACATCCACACAGAGTACAGTTCCCAATGTGCAAACAGCAGAGATGAGGCATTGGATCTCTTCTTAGCTTTGTGTCTGGAGCTCTTAGCACAGCTACAGGCACAGAATGGGTGTTCAATGAGTGCTTTTTAAATGAATTAGCAGTGAGGACATTTCCTCTTAGGGAGCTTTACATCCAGTAAGAGGAGACTCTTCACTGGTGGATAGCCCTTTATCAGTGCCTAGGATGGCTGTATGTTTTCAAGTCTGAAGTCAAGGAGATGGAAAGGACAAATTTCATGGTCATTATATTTTTCCTTATGTTTTGTAGAGTCACTTTGTGGCGTGTATGACAGCCATCTTAGACCAGATGGGTGACCAACACTATTCCTTCTACATTGAGACCTTCAAGACCAGTTCAGACCTTGTGGTAAGTCTGCAGGACATGGTGGGGGAGGGCAGGCAAGAGATAGAGAAGAGGGGCATGGCATACCACACTCTTGTTCTCATGAGTGTGGGGCAAGAAGATCCCCCTACAGATCTCAAGTATGTGTGTTGAAGATTATGGCATATGTGTGTGATTCCATATCTTGTATGACTCATTTCTAAAGTGTATCTGCAGTCCATTAGAGTTCAGTGCTGTGGCTCCCACATCTAGATTCCCATTAACAAACATTCATTGATGAATCATGAATGCTTTGGGGTTTAAGACCATGAGTGTTGGAGCCTGAAAATTTTGCATTGGAATCTTCGATCAGCCACTGTGACCTTAGGCAAGTTAACTTCTCTTAAGCCTCAGTTGGTTTGTTTTTGTTTTTGTTTTGTTTTGTTTTTTATCTCTGAACTAGGATGGTAGCATCTGTGTCACAAGGCTATTACTATCATAGGAATAATAGTAAGCACTCAGCAAAAGTTAACTATTACTGTGCTGTGATGAATGTACAGAGAAAGCTAGTTCCTGAGCCCAACTTACCTCTCAGTACTCATCTGCTGCACCCACCACCATCACCAGGCCTTCAGTGAACATTCACAAGCTTGGCTCTCTGCCAAGCATCCAGTATATAGTATATGCTTGATCCTCATGATAACCTTGGGAGGTAGACATAACCCCATTCTGCTGATGTGGAAGCTGGGACCTTATACCACAGAGGTGACTTTTTTCTAAAAGCAAAATTTGCTGGAAATAAACCAATACCATTTCCAGAATTTCACAATTTAGCTTAAAGCAGTGTTTTTGAAATGATATACTATATAGTCTCCTTACCACCCTACCATAAAGACACACACACACCAAACAGAGCTGATCTGCTTTTATCTATTTCATATATTGGGTTTTAGGTGAGATTTTCTTTGAACAGAATCTGCAGTGAACATGACTTGACAAGTACTGCTTAAGGAAAAAAACTGCAGATGGGCGGGTTCACTCTGAGTTCGAAGCTTTACCTAAATCACCTGGGGATCTGGCTTCATTACCTGCAGCTCAAGACACTCTTGGTACCGGTGGTTCTCGACTCTGCTGACTAGATTTGTGCTGAATTTATTTTCTCTAAAGATAAAGATGAAGGTTAGCCTGCTGCAAAATCTGCTGGAGAATGTTTAAATCCACTTTGAACCCCTTTAAAAGAGAGGAAGACCCTTGCTACCTCCCTTCTTTAGGAGCTTATATGCATGTGTGACATTTGGATTAGCTGTGCCTATGCATTGCTAATTAGATGTTCATTTAAATAATAGTGTTTGCTCAATGACCTGAGACAATACTATATAGTGTGGATTATTTACCTCTTGAATACATATTTAGGAAGATGATTATGAAATCATCAGCAAATACATTTGCTTCTTTATTCTTTAAGACAGAACCAATAGTACTTTATTTGGAGAGTCCATTTTTAGTTATTATTCAAATTCCACTTGTGTCTGGTGAGGCAGAGTCTTGGTAGCTGACTTATAAACTTCCAATTTCAACCTATTGTTATGACTTTGAATTCCTTAGCAAAAACCTGTCCCCTTCCCAATCTGACCCTCTAAAGGAAAATAAAGAAGGCATTTAAATTGCCACTAAGGTCTAGGCAGGTGCAGTCTGTCCCTGCGACATGGGGTGACAAGTGTGTTCGGCACTTTTGCAGGACTTCCTAATGGAGACATTCATCATGTTCAAGGACCTGATTGGGAAAAACGTGTACCCCGGTGACTGGATGGCCATGAGCATGGTTCAGAACAGGTAAGCGGCCAGTGCTTCTGGAGTGCCACCTGTGTACTGGCCACCCAGGCTTAAGAACACCAGCAGCCGTGGATGGGAGAGAAGGGATTAAAATGTTGAGAGAGCCTTTCCTTTCTGAGCTCAAACACAAGAAAGAGCTCACCAATCCTGAAGCTATTCTAAATAGCCCCCATTCTTCTGAGGTGCTCATGTTCCCATGAAAATAGATACCCTGTCTATGATAGGAGAATTTTAGGGAAGCATTACACGATTATATTAATTTAAAGTTTATTTAAGATAATAAAATATTTCCCATGCCATAGGTTAGATAAGTGTCTGACAACTTTAAACAGGTTTCCACATTACAGGACTTGGGGGAGGGTGCTTTTAATATGCTACTATGATTTTCTAAGATGAAGAAATAGGAGGGAATGTTTTACAGATGCCTTTGGAACAATGTAGGGTACAACTTACACATTTTTGTTTGTATCTGTAATACCTACTCATATCTCATAGAATATCAGTGTAACCCAAGAATAATTCACATGAGCAATCACAGCCTGGGATAAGCCATTACAAATGCTCCCAACCTTCACTGTTGTCTCTCCAATGCCATCTTGCCAGGTGAATGCCAGTCCCAGCACTAGGTCACCCTAACAGCCCCTCCCTCCACTCCCCTGTCCCCAGCATCTTTCCCATGCTGCACTTCCCGGTGCCCCTGATCTGTGTCAGAACCTCGTTCTCAAGTCTCACTTGTGTCCTCTCTTCAGCAAGGCCTTCCCAGCTCCTCCCTTCCTTTATCCCCCTTTCCTTTGGCTACTTATATTTATTTCAGGTCCTTACTGTGGAAAGCCCTTCATCTCCCAGGGGCTTCTAGTTTTATCTCCCTGTACCTACCACCTCTGTTCTCCATCATGCAGGCCAAGTATTGGCTGACAGAGACAGAGATGTCCCCCGAGAGTGGTAGAGAAGAAAAACCAGAATTTTCTTTACCGAAAGAACTGGAGGAAAGACTATGCACATTTACATATTAATGATTTTGTCATTGGA